TTTAATATTTAAAGATGTTACGTCTATATATGCCCGTCTGTCTGATTACTTGTCTGCCCGCAGGAGAGGAGAGGAGAAAAAAAACAAAACAGAGAAGAGGTGATCAAGAAGGAGAAATGTAATATCTTGCTAATGACTGAAGGGAAGAGAGACAGAGCAGAAGGCCGGGCGCAGCCGTTCACAAAGTCTATATATGCATTTACATTTACATTTGGGCAATGTGAGAATATTGCTGCAGATTAAACAAAGAGAGGGAAATATATCAGAGGCAAAAAATAATGGAAAAAAGAAAAGTATAAATCAAAATAATAGATTGAGTGACAGAAATAGCTAAAAGCTGTTGGGATGAAAGATGGAAAGAGCATGAGAGAGGGAGGGAGGGTGATGCGGAGAAAGATATAAAAGCAATGGCAACAGGAATATAATGAGAAAATGGGCGAGAGATATAGAGAAAGCGAACGAGAGGCAGAGATGATAGCGAGAGAGAGAGAGGAGCTAAAACAATGACAAAGCCAAACAGAAGGCGTCAAAAGGAGGGGTGGAGAGAGACATGAGAGTATGTCTCTGGGGAGAAGAGGTTGAGTTGGGTCTGTCTGTGATTGGGTTTAGACTGCTCCTGCAGAGCTGAGGTGACTCACCAGTCTCCCACACACACAGACGTGCATGATGTTGTGTGTGGCGTGAGTGTGTATATTTGTGTGTGTGGTGGAGAGAGAGAGAGAGTGAGTATCAGAGTTTTTTACTGTCACTGTCCCGCAGGGGTGTGTGTGTGTGTGTGTGTGTGTGTGTGTGTGTATTAAACCATCATGTTGCATGCAGCCTATTGGGAGCTGCCACTCTTAATAACAGATAATAACACACTGTCCATCGCCATCTCCAGATGCCCACTGTCCCTGCTGATTCACTGCCTGTTGTACAATGCTGTTATAAAAGACAAATCTTCCATTATCCAGAGCATCACAAAAGAGCGTGACCAGTACCTGTCATCAGCAAAAGACAAATGTGAATTTATCAATGTTGCTCAATGATCTCCAAGGATACATTTTAGATGTTTCATAATTGCACGTTATGCAGTTTTTCCTAATTGCACTTCCAGGCATCTCACACAGATTTCAATTTTCAGAATTAAAAAAGCTGAAAAACAGCGTGAGCAAAAACAATTTACGGTGCACAGCAACACTGGCTGCCCATGCATCAACATTATCTAGTATGGAAAAAGTCCCTCTACTTTCATATATACTTATATCCATCTGTATTAGTATAGAAGTGAGGTGGTGTAATTTAAGTAGCTGTGTCGTGTTCATTTCACATATTTCTGTGAGATTATGTATGTAAGGATGGGTTCACTTCCACTTGTGCTGCCAACACAAGTTAACAACAATCGGCCTAGGCCAACAGATGAACAGTGTATATGAATAGTCCGTTATGTGGTGAGTGTGTGTGTGTCATTTTAATTGTGTGTGTGCGTCTGTCCCTGCGAGTGTCTGGTTTAATGGCACATTAATGTTGCCTGGAACAAAGCCCTTCATCATTATCTACACTCACATTTGGGAACATGAAAATCTAAATCGAGTGAGGATTTCACACGGGTGGGAAGTAGACAGATATGAGACAGAATAATTTGATTTAAAAGATAATTGGGATATAACATAATCGAGACCAGATCATTGGACTCATTTATTATTTTGTTTCATATTTCAAAGCCACGGGAAAGCATTTTTATCTTGTAAGAGAAGCTCCAGATAAGTGACTAGACATTATTTAAAGAGAGAAGGCTCGAAATAACAGGTTTTCAAGGCAAGTCCGCCAAAATCACCTTCTTCGACTCTCCTGATTGAATGATAGGTTGGTGGATGCGTGTGATGTGAATGAGTGAGAAGATGCGCTCTCTTCAGTATTATAAAGTATAGAAAGTGTTGAGTGCTGTTATCAGCTGCAGCTGAGTTGATATAGGTTGGGACAAGGCGAGAGCATTTGTCATGTCAGAACAGAAGTGTGAACCCTGCATACTTTGCAAACTCGCAAAAGGATCAGTTGCTCATTTTCAGCCAGCACTAGTTCATCTGTGTGAAAAGCTGCTAAGACGAGGGACTTTGGGTCCCCTGGGTGAAAGACCTCCACAACATCCTGATGCCTGAACTGGGCAAGTTTCAATCCAAAATAGATGCTTTTTCTTGCAAAACAATCATGCTAAGACAATTGCTCTTGCACTCTTAGATCCTTGCTTGCCCCTCAAAACATGGCTTCAAATCTTAAGTATTTGTATATGATTTTAAATATTCATAATGAAATATGCAACAACGAAAGTGAAGAAAACATCTTTAGGGATTATTTATTAAGAGCTTAACAGTCAAAAGTTGGACTAATCTGCTCCATCAGGAGTGTGTGAGTCTCCTAAAAATTACTTTTAATTTGCAGCAGCAAATATCTTTTGCCGGAAACATAATGCCTACCTGCTATCAACATAATGAAATGTTAATAAATATAAATGGTAAGTCACAAAATGTTGATACTGACATTATTAGTAAATTGTTGACCATTAGTTTTCCACCATACTAATATAATATCAAATACAAGCCTCTTGTAATGACTACAGCATTATTAACCTTTCTTTTACAGTTATGTTTAGGCAATCACAGCACTTGGTTAAGGGTAGGGAAAGATCGTGGTCTTGGTTTAATACAGAACACACACTCACACTGTACGCAAAACCCCAGACTGTGGAGTCCAAGTCCTTCAGTAAGAGTTGACAAAAATCTGTCACCGTGTTTTTTGAATACAGTCTATGATCATGTCCTGTGTTAAACCAAATCGATTCTTTTAAGTTACATACGTAAGTTACGTCACATGACTGTGACTTACTTAGGCCTACTTATTTTAACCGAAACTATGATCTTTTCCAAAACCGAACAGAGTAGTTTTGGTGCCTGAGCCTAACCAATCTGTAACTGTTTCCCAACTTTAACGATGTGTTAATTGTTACCATAACAACGAAGTCCGGTACACCTGTCGCTAGTAGTCTCCAATGGTCATATATATGTCATTTTGGTAGTCATTGTGTGTTGATAATATAGGATATACTGTATGTTAGCAGGTGAGCTGATTGTCAATACACATTAACATGATGAAATCAATGAAAATGGGATCTTTTACATGTGAGCGACAATTTGAAGTTCATCTGGAAAAACGTCTATTCAGAGGTTAAACAATACATACATGGTATGTCCTGCTATTCAGCTAAAGTTCACAGATGCACAGGGAATAGTGACTGCAGGCAGAGGCCAAAAGGTTGTTCTATGCAGAGAACATAGAGAGACTATGAGAGAAAACACACAGAGATAGTCTTTAAGGTAAAAGGGTGTGTTTTGGTTTCTTCCTGAAAAGTTAAAGCTGAAGTACTCAGAGGAGTCTCTGTTTTCATGTGTGTGTGTGAGAGAGAGAAGGGAAGAGTCTGTGCCTCTGTGTGTTTGTATCTGTCTCTGTGTTTTTATGCATGTGAGTGTGTTTTCTCTCCCTGTGCCTTCACCTAGCTCTCTGCTTGGCAATAAAACTGTCATTTTGAAAGAACTTAAGTTGGAAGATGCCTACAGCTGTAGACCAAGAGCCTACAGATCTTCTTTCCCCACAGGCCCTTTCTACCAGCAGCCCCTCTAGCAATCCAACTAGCCCCCCCCCCCACTCGTCATCTCAAGCCCATGCTTGCCACTCTGTCATGTACATGTCTATTTAACAACAGACATGTACCTGAATGTCAATGTTCTTGCAGCTTTGTGCTGTTTCACTTCGCCTCACTCACTGGGTCAGTGTCAGAGAATTATCCCCAGGCTGAACGGAGATGTGACTGTGGACCTCAGGAAAAAGCGCACTACATTAGCAGGGCTTGATTTATCATATCTAAATGTCAGGGTGAAAAGGCAAGCAGGGCTTCAGAACACATTTCAACCACAACTGTTGTCTGGTTTAATGTTTGGTTTAAATGGTTTAATGGTTTAATGAACCATGGGTTTAAATGTTTAAATGTTTCTTCATTTATCTTATGTCTTTAGATACAGCCATGACACCCCCTAAAATACCAGATACATGTTCATTTTAAGTTTTGGAGTAAAAAACAACCTTTATTGTGTTCCTATTCACCACAGGACAGTGCTACAGACTTTTTGACAGACTGATTTCTATAAACTCTCAAATGCTGACACTGAATAATTTCCAGCTATTTGTGGATTTTGCAGAAGTCTAACATGTTTTTTTATACAGTCGTACTTTTTCCACCCTGCACTGTGAATGTTTACATGGTGTGTTCAATAAAAACATAAAAACCGAACAGAGTAGTTTTGGTGCCTGAGCCTAACCAATCTGTAACGGTTTCCCAACTTTAACGATGTGTTAATTGTTACCATAACAACGAAGTCCGGTACACCTGTCGCTAGTAGTCTCCAATGGTCATATATATGTCATTTTGGTAGTCATTGTGTGTTGATAATATAGGATATACTGTATGTTAGCAGGTGAGCTGATTGTCAATACACATTAACATGATGAAATCAATGAAAACATAAAAACATATAATTGTTTGTGTCGTATTAGTTTAAGCAGACTGTGTCTATTGTTGGGACATAGATCAAGATCAGATCACATTTTATGACCAATTTATGCAGAAATCCAGGTAATTCCAAAGGGTTCAGATACTTTTTCCTGCAACTGTATGTGCAGTGCAGTATGTGTGTAATGTGAGTGTAGGTGTTCGTGTGTGTGTGTGTGTGTGTCTGAGAGAGATAAATAGGAGAATGTGTTCCCATTGGACATGACTCATCAGGTATTTCATCAGTGCCACCTCATAAACCTCACAACATTAAAATGCATCCTGTATGCAAGTATGTGTGTGTGTTTGTGTGTGTGTGTTTGAGCAAAAGCAATTAGGTGTTAACATGGTGGGACTGTATGTGTGTTCACTGTCATGTCCTGTTTTCTTACTGCCTTATTTTCTCTCCCTTTCCTTGTAGGGTGGAGGAGAGTTTTAAGACTCTTTTCTGGTCAATCTTCGGGCTGTCTGAAGTGATCTCAGTGGTGCTGAAGTACGACCATAAGTTCATAGAGAACATCGGCTATGTGCTGTATGGAGTCTATAATGTCACAATGGTGGTCGTCCTTCTCAACATGCTCATTGCCATGATCAACAGCTCGTACCAGGAAATAGAGGTACATAAACAAGGTGGTCAGTCAATATAGAAATGGTATAATGTTGTCAACAAGTCAAAAAGGATCATTGTTTGATCGCCTCTGTGCCTGCAGGTGGATTAGAGAGTGAGTTGAAAATACCTTGAATATCAATACAGTGGCAACAAACAAAAACACAGAATACAAAATAAAAGCAGTAGTCTCACTGGAAAGTTTTTTTTTTGTTGTTGTTGTTTTTTTAAAACTGTCCTGCCCAGCAGCCTAGTATAGAGGAGGAGCTGGATACCATATTGTGCCAGACAGATTTTACTTTAACTAGAGAGTATAAATATACTTTTTTTAATTTAAATTTCTTTGTCACTGGGCCAGACAGGGGGCAGACATGGGGATGGGGGACACAAACACCACACACAGACAGACAGCATAGAGAAAGGACAACACCTGCAAGGGAACGGGGATGGGGGGTGGGGACATCAGGAAATAGCAGAAGGAAACACCAATTGCAGAAAGCAACAAAAACTGCAAGAGAATGGGGGGGGGGGGGGGGGGGGGCGAAGAAAAACAAACAAACAAAAAACATAAACAAAGACAGAACAGAAGCAATAAACAGCTGACATAGGAAGCCAGCTGAAAGAGAAATGAAAAAGAGACACAGTAAAGCAAAATAAATAAACAATACAGCACAGCCATGAGAGCTGGAATAATAACAATTAATTTAAATAAGTAACTGAAAGAAAAGCATCAAGAATAATTCTACCAGGGGCCAACCTAAATTAAATTTGTTTGTGTGTGTGTCTATTTGTGAGACTGTATGTGTCTGTGTGGGTGAATGTGTCTGTATGTGTATGCGCGTGTATGTGTGTGCGCATAAGCCTGTTACAGAATGTAGGTCTTAGTGAGAGTGCGACGCCACAACCGCGCCGCAATAACTCCGGCAACAGGCAGACAAGAACCCCAGTATCCAATAGGAGTGGCAGAAAAAAAAATTGACTCCCAGACGCACCACGATGCGTATGCGGAAGACCCCGACCGAACCAACAAATGATCATCCAATTGCCAATCGACAACACAATGCCGTCGGAACGCAAAAGGCGGAACCTGCTGAAGAGTGGCGCCCGGGCCGACAGCAGAACACACGCAACTGAGACCACTGGTCTCCCACGCTGCGGAAGAACAAAAACGGCACGCAATCATCAACATCAGTGCGCAAGTGACAACCCCAACCCACACACTGCGCGAGCACGTTGACACCCAATGCCAGGCAGCCCTCTGTGTACGAGGCCTAGCAAACAAGAGAGAGCAAGCGGCAGAACACGACAGCAAAAGCCAGCGGAGAAAAACACCAGCAGCAAATCCCACCCGGCAGCAAACTGCTGTCCCCCCAACCGCCAGAAACGTGAAGGCCACCAGTGCCAGCCAACATCACCCACGCACAGCACACCCTCTGGCCGCCATGCAACGCCAGCCAAACTAGCAACGAGGCAGCCCAGCAGCCATCCAGAGAGCCATCACAGAAAAAAACAATGCATTGACAATCGCCCTATAATCCCATTGCAGCCCTCCGTACCACAACTGGATTGACCCACAAAGCGCCCAGAGATCCCCCACCCCCAGTAGCCAGGGCTCCCCGCGACCCCCCAAAGCACAAAGGACCCCAGACCACCTGTCCCAGGGAGAGCTGCGCCCCGCCCCGAGGGCAGGGGGACGCAGCGGGAGCCCCACCCCTGCCGAAGAGGGGCCCAGCGAGGAGAGGAGACAATGGGCCAGGCCCAGGACACACCACCCGCCCCAGACAAGAGCAGAAGTCTGAGTCCCGAGTCCCCAGATCCCCGGGTCCCCACGCCAGGGGTGTCACAATCGCTGGGCCCCCCACGCAAAGGGAGCCACAACCCACCCCAGGCCAGGCTAGGTGGACACCAACCCCACGGCACCCCGATGCCCCAGGGGCAGGACACGAGGCCAATGAGACCCCCCCACACACACCTTCAGTCCCCCCCTGTCTGCCTCTGTAAATGCATTGTATTGTGTTGGATGCATGTCACGGTTTGTGAAGTGTTGTATGGTGGAGTGGAGATAAGGTGCATGGTAACTAAGGTGCAGTTAAAATTGGAGGGTAGTTGCGATACAGGTACCCCACAACTGTCAGCTAGTAGAGCCTCCCAATGTGCCCCTTCCACCCCCAAAGCCCTCTGCGTCTAATGTTTAATTAAAATTGAGGGGCGGCCAGTGTGGGAGGAAGAAGGGCGAGGCCGCAATAAAGCAGACCACCCACCAAACGCCCTGCAGCAGTCTCACTGGAAAGTTGTTACAAAGGGCAATAATCTATACTATGTAACAAATATAGTACATACAGTGTTACAAAAATTCTACAGAAAATGTTTTGAACGACGTTTGAAAAAGTCCAAATGTGAGTGTGGCAGAAGCCTCTTGGTAACCCCAGTACAGACGCCAACTCAGGAGCTCGTCCAACCAATGATTTATTTCACACCGCACACATATACACTCCACATAAAGGACTTCGCCGGGCCGGCCATGGCAAAGTAAAAGTAAATTCCACACATGAATTGGATATGTTGTTCAGTTCTCCAAGACAGAACAATGTAATCTTTTGGTGTTAAAAGTTGGTCCCTATAACTCTCATAATAATTATAATTACATTATAATGTAATTATAATGTAATTATAATTATGGTAATTAGTTAACCAGTTTAATTTGATAACACGATCAGTCCAGTAAATTTTTTCTCTAAGGTTTCTGCAGTCTTATGCCATTTTTTAAAAGTCTTTACTCATTGCCAGCCCTGCTCAAAATGCACAATCTGTCCCTGTCTGCAGGAGGATGCTGATGTGGAGTGGAAGTTTGCCCGAGCCAAGCTGTGGCTCTCCTACTTTGACGAAGGCCGCACCCTGCCCGCCCCCTTCAACCTGGTTCCCAGCCCAAAGTCCTTCTACTACCTGGTCCTCCGCATCAAGTCCTGCCTGATACTCCTCTGCAAGGCCAACAGCCGGCGCCATAACAACGAGCTGGAGATGGGCATGCTCAACTCACAGGCCAAGGTCAGAGTCAGGAATTCTTACATTGCTTCCTAATCTCCTGATGAAGTACAGACACAAACTAAGAAATATGTTGTTATTGTCCATACATTATTCTATTTGACATTGAACAGCTACTGGACTGATATTACTGCTGACATTGTGAAGAATGGTTAATTAATTATTTTCTAAACTAAGTTGCAGTAGCCACTAAATACTGTAATAGGCTATGTTTCTCTTCATATCACTAATATTATCTTTTCTGAGTGCTTTGATTCAACTAATCCTACATTGTGCAGGAATTTGGGGGGGAGCCAGTAAATACAAGTTAAATACTGACAACTTGCAGCTTATTTTGCTTGCCTCCCATTCAGCAAAATATTCTCAGACAACATGGAATGGTATTATGAACTGATAGTTTACACAGAAAAAGCAACTAAGAAACAGCCATTTTAATACAGTTTGTTCATCTCAAGTTTACTCTCTTTGCTTTTGTGTATATTTTGCTGCAATGGCCGACATACTAATTACCAGGAGTTTACTTTCCTTCCAAATATTCCTCTTTTGCAGGCTCCTTCCAGGCAAAATGATGCTATGATTTGCCATGCAGCTTCAGTTAATGGACTGTTGAGGACAAGCTCACTTGGCGCTCAGTAATCTTCAGTTGACTTGTCTGTATATATAGGCCTGGTCTAACTGTAGTCTTGTAGTTTAGACTCAGGAAATACAGTACATGGTATTCCCACTGCAGGCCTGGGATACAACTTTAGCTTTGTTCATTTCCTATTTATAGGATTGTCCGTCTAAATAAAATCACTGTAACGAAAAGAAAGAAAATAATATACACCATTTAACACAGAATCAATTTTTGTGCTGTCCTTGTCCTCAGGGATTTCCTCTGTCTGATTCCTCGGCTCAAATTGTTCACCTCAGCGCCTTGGCTAAGCTATTAGTCAGGCCATTGGATCTGCCAACGTCTGCTCAAATATCTGGGCAGGTTTCTGATGGGGACAAGATGGGTTACACCCTGCTGCCTCTGTGAGCTCCTAAAGTTCTCTTCAGCTCTGACAGTTTAGATGCAGAACCAAGCAGGTGTAGCAAACTAACAATACATAGTGGAGCTACCAGCAGAGTTTGAGGAGCGGGACCACAAGTCAAACATGTCACCCCCGGCATTTCATTAAATACCCACATGTCCCATCTCCTCTTCTTCAGTCTCGCATTCTGCACCCCTCCTGCCCACCCCTTTCTCTGTCCGGTCTCCTTATCTCCTTCTTCCTGTCCATAGGGTTATAGGGGGGTCTGTCATGCCAGGATGCTACAGCGGATTTCCCTATTGTAGTTTCCCCACAACGCTTTCGAATGTCTATTCAGCAACAGCAAGCCTCGTACATCTTTCTGTTCCGATCATAAATAAATTATTTAACCGTATCTGTTGATTGTGGTCCTTGGTAGTGAAAGCGGTAAGATTTAGGGAAGACAGCATGGTCTTTCTGAATCAGTCTTCTTTTTTCCCCCTCTCAGTCTTTTGATCAATGTGTCTCACGTGAGATATCCAACTTTGAGAAAAGTGACATGCTGAATTAATGCTAAATATGCTAGTTTCAAAGCAGCATATGTTCATAAAGATAACTAAGGCAGTGGGTGGTGAAATACCAGTTTTAATGACTGGACTGTATATTTAATTGTGTATGTGTGTGTGTGTGTGTGTGTGTTGGTATTTGCCTGCAATGATGCTCAGACCCTTTGACGAATATGTCTTTCATATAGTCACAGTATTTATGACAATTAATTTCTTGCCAAATGCAAAGAAAACTCAAAATAGTATCAGTTAAATGGAGGCAGCAAAGGGCAACAAAGCAGGTTATTGATAGGGACAAGATCACAGACAACACAGCAAAAGAGGTTTAAGCTTTGTCAGTTGGGCTTTGGAAAACCTCAGCATAAAAGATCTGTTTCTCAGATTCACATGAAGCTGTAGTTGTCATCTGGTTGTGTGGTTCAGTAAAGCAGTATATATAGTCTATATAGTATATATATAGTAAAAGTATATATAAAAAAATTGCATCTCTAGCTATAGTGCAGAGCCAGGTTAGGACCCAAATGGAATACACAAAAGCAGGATGCAATGCAGGTGGTTAATTTAAACCAACAATAAACTAAACAGGCTCTCACTGGTACATGGCAAAGTCCAAACAAAAGTGAATCCAAACTGAGGTAAGCAAATGCAAAAGCAGGGTAATCCAGAAACGCAGGGACAGGGCAGAACACTCAACATAAGACAACAGACAGAACTGAAACCCAAAACACTGACTAAATGACAGATACCTAACTGATAAAAGAATAAACTCACAGAGAACAAACGGAACAGATGACAGGACTAACATGCAGATACAAAACCAAACCCTCAGAATCAAAACCCAAAAACATAGCACTCAGGACAGCATCGTGACATAAACACTATTTCTGAACATTTTTTTCTTTCTGAGAACACAAGATGAGTTTCCCTGCAAAATGAAAACTAATGTGATTGTAAGTTCAATCAGAGCACAAATTAATGTGAATAGTCTCTACCGCAGGTAACTGAAATCCTAGATTAAAAATGACACTTGATTGATTCCCTGTTACAATAAATTGAGGTTTGGTTGAGATGTTGTATGATGAACTTCAGTAATGTTTTTTCTGTTATGATGAATAGTATTTTAGAATGAATCTGTTTTTAATTTAGTGCAGACACACTACGTGCTCTGTATGTTTATACAGTATGTTGTATATTCATAATTCTGAAAAATTCAGCAGCTCTCAAAGAGAAATGGATTATTTAACATTGATAACAAAACATGATTAGTTTTTTCAGGGCTTTCAACTTAACTTTGTCAGTTATTCTTTAGAAAAAGCAAACATGTTCATGTTGTACTTCTGTATTATGTTGAGATATCTTCAGGCCTCCAGGCGCAGCTTTAATGCGTATAGAGGAGCAGCTGGTTGTGTTTGTCCACACTCAAAATAGGCAACGTTGGAAAAAATAGCAACACCTTCCCTTCAGGCCTCCCTTCCCAAAGCCACCCAAAATACATTTCCATGCGCAGTAAGTACACGGGTGCACAGGTAGGTAGGTAGGTAGGTAGGCCAGCCAATCATTTCATTTGGCCGTGCTTATTACAGTCCTGTGACAGTCACAGATACCAGATTATTTTGTCAGAGCATTTGATTGATTGATTGCTGTCGGGATATAAAGAGTATTTCAAAAAATATAACAAAAAAGGCATCAGAAATAAATTGCCTACCCTAGCTTGAAGTTAAAACTCATTTTGACACTGTAGTGCTAAAATGACATGCACGCTTCTAAGCAAGGTCATGGACATGGAAGGTATCTAGAAGTCAGTTAATAGAGGTTTCCTCTGGTCAAGTGAAGCTGTCAATTTTTTTTCCTTCTCTTTGAAGACATCTGTGAGCGCTAGATACAAACAATAAGCATTATTGTTTTGTTTTGGCAGTGTGCTGCCTCTTCTTACACCCTTTTCAAATGCTTCCATTATTGAAGATCACTGAACCCTGAAATGTGACGTTAACACTGGACTGTTGTTTGTATCCCACTGTTGCAACAGGATGAGCGCCTCAGATCTTATCCACGCCCGGGAGAAGAGTTCATGCACAGAAAATCTAGAAAACACCCAACACGATACCAGGTAAGGCAGTGAGCGAAGGATGTGTAAAGAATCTCAAGAACAAGAAGGGAAAAGAAAGAATAAAAGGAGAGACGGAGAGCAGCATTCAGGCTGAGGAAGCTAGAAACAAAATGACAAAAGTAGATATGTATAACTGCAGAGAGAGGAGCTGGCTGGACGGTGATAAAGGATGACAGGAAGAGCGATGGAGAGAGAAAATGAGAGGGATGGAAGAGGTAAAGAGAAACTGATAATAAAGACAGATAAGGAAGAGGCAGGAAGGTACGGAGATGAGGGAAGAATTTAACAAGAGTTCGGATGAAAGGGCATCCACTAAAAGGAAGGCAGGATGGAACAAGTGAAAGGGGGAGAGGAGGAACAGCAAATAGAAAAACAGAACAGAGTAAGGATGAAAATGCCTCTAATGAGCTGTTTGAGAGAGATCGAATGCAGACACTCTGTAAATGAGCCCAAAGTACCACACTGAGGAGGGAAGAGATGCTCTCCTCTGTAGTCTGCCCTTCACCTTTGCCATTAGGGAATTCTCACTTCCTTCACTGGTCGACTGCGCTATTGTTGTTGTTGTTTTTTTCCACTTCCAGCACACAAATGCTGCAGCTGCAGGACTTCCCTACTCTCAACATTTCACGCACAGTCTCTGAGACACAGTGCTGTGCTGTGCTGTGCGCTATGCGATGTCACATCGCCTTGTCACCTTCTCTCTATTTAATCTCCTCCTTCCCTCTCATCTTTGTAGAATATCATGAAGCGTCTGATTAAGCGATATGTACTAAAGGCTCAAGTGGACAGAGAGAGCGATGAAGTCAATGAAGGTAAAAATTCATCATTAAGGGCCACTCTTATTCAGTCGTTATTTGCTTAGGGCATGTTTGTGCCTGAGAGTATCTACTGTTATCGAGAGACAAGACGTAGGAGTTATTGTGTGTGTGTGTCTGTATGTGTAAGAAAAAGTCTATGAAATGAGGTGTGCTGTGCATCTTCCATACATGTCAGTATTTGTTCATGTTTACATGCCCTGATTGTTGCTGCGTTATAGGCGAGCTGAAGGAGATCAAGCAAGACATTTCCAGCCTCCGTTATGAGCTCCTGGAGGAGAAGTCCGAGGCCGCCGGAGAGCTGGCTCTGCTCATCCAACAACTTGGCGACAAGTTTGGCAAGAACACCATGAGACACTGACAGGACTCGCTAGAAGGGGAGAGAAGCAAGAAGGGAGGAAGGTGTGAAAGAGGGTGAAATCAGGAGGAGGTGGGGGCAGACAGCAGGGTCATGGTAGGTATTTTTAAGACTTTGATAGCAGAAGAGGGGGAAAGAAGGGAGCAGGGGAAACAGGATTTTTAGAAGATTGACAGGGAAGAAAGTGAGAGAGTGAGAGAAATAAACTGATTAAAATTTTGCTGAACGCAAGAGTTTAGTATATGCAACGACCAATTAAGGAGGAATGTAAAAAAGAGGATAGCAGTGACTGCAAGTAAGCAGGAGGCCAAAGGGTCAGAGGGCACGTATACTCAGTTGGAGGGGGTTTGTGTTGACAGCTGAATTCTAATTAAAGGCACCATCTTCAGGGAATGAGAGAGGAGAGGAAGACAGAGGCTCACAGACTGGGTGGGAGTTAGAGGGAGACCAATGAGGGGGGAAACACAATCACTATGAGATATAAAGAGGCACCACAGAGCAGGAGCTGAGGCGGTGATGCGGCGATGAGGGCCCCCACATCCACTGCACAGATATCAGTGCATCTCCAACTTGGAGGAGAGAGAGGGTAGCCCAGAGATGGGATGACAGAGAGGGAGGGCTTGAGAGAGAGGAGGGACGAGAAAGAAAGGCACAACAAAAAAGACTTCCACTGTTATTCACACCAGAAAGGCTGGCTTTGCTTCTATGTCTTCACTTTGCCAGGACAAGCATAGTGACGCCTGTTAAGATACTGTGCACTCCTTTATACACCAGGCTATCTAATTAATGCATTTTCCATCCATAATGTACAACTTATAATCAGGAGTCGAATGATTCAGGAAAAAGTGGGAAACAGTGTAGGATTTATGCATTTGAAAATCGTTCAAGCTCACTCAAAAATGTAGCATTATCCTCTTTGTAATGTTGGTCAGAGACTTTTGTATGTCCACATAACACACAGTGTGTTGTATTGACATACAGTATTGCAGCTCCATGTGAATTGTCTCCAGGAGATCATATGTTAATAAAGAATTGACATTGTAGAGTTTAAAAATAGTTAAAAGTGGCAATAACATTACTCCAGACAGCGTGTCTCTACCTCACTCAGAATTATTTAAAATACAATATACCAAGCGAGTACACGTTACCAGAAATGTTGCAAGCATACCTAACTCATGGATGTACAAAAACAAATAGCAACATTTCACATGATACCTCTCTCCCTTTGTTTAAAGTCTCATGCATATTTGAACAACTTTAAGCCAATAAACATGTTAAATATGACAGATAGTCATATCTGATCTATCTAGATAACAAACAGAACAAAAAGTCTCTGTGCGACACATTTGCTAAAATCGTAACCAGAAAGCAACGTGTCCTTGAGGAGTTGTGTTTACGGCTGTAAAATGCAGAAGGTCAGTGCTTATGAGAAGCACATGAAGGCTTTAGGGCAACTATACTTTTGTGAGATGAGAAAATGAGGGAGATGGAGACTTTTGGAACAACAGTGTAGTCATTTGACTATAAAACACTTCTGCTGCAGAAGCTGTGTGGAGTAATTTTATGGTCTTGTTTTTCTTTTGGAGACTTATTAGAGATACCGCTACACTAGCTAACTGACTGTGTTAAACTTCACTAGTGATTCGACTGACGGGATGAGTAGGTAATAGCTGAACTTTTGCTGTAACTAAAATATAAAGAAAATGGCATATCAATAATAATGCACATGATAAACTGCTAATTCTGCCTATTAGAAATTAGAATCTTTTTATTTGTGCTAAGTGAAAACTGTATTCACAACAAACAACTATTCAGATGTAGATACAAATGGGGTGCTAAAGATTATGTTGACCTGTGGGTTCAGCCAAAGTGTATGTTGTCCGCTGCTTGTGGGAAACAGCAACATCCAACGTTCATACAACACTGGTCTGCATATATTTCAATTAAAAAACTACAAAACTTCATAAATTACAGTTTTGGTGTTTTAAATGTTTAATCCATGGATTGAAGTGGTTCCTCTGGGGACTATGCTGTGGATTCAGATCATTACATACATCATACAATTCACCCCTTTCAAAACCATTTGGTTAACATAAAACAATTAAATATTTTCAAGCTAAAACACCACATTTTTATTATTCTATTATTGTGTGGATGCTATCAAATGTCTTTACCCCCACAGGTGAGAATCAGCAGGGGCCTACTGCACCAATTAAAACATTTAGAGCTCTGTCATTATACATCTTTTGTTATGGTGTGAAAACAAACCAGATCATCATTATCAGTTACAGTAAAACTTCACCTTACAATACTGTGATGAGTTATTTCCAAGACAAATATATTTATATTTGAATCCTTGCAGGTAGCTTTAAGCCTAAACTCACTAGTAGGTGTAGTAGGCCCAAGTCTGAGTGAATATTCTAAATCAAAAGGATTATGTGGCATATGTGGAAAAGTCAAACTTTTTAGAGATATGGTTTTCAACCTACAGTGACCAAATCTAGTTTCAGATACACAAATGTTGTTTTGTCAAGATTTTATATAAAGAAGTAGTGGGGCGTTTGTCTTTATTTATTTGTACTGTATGTGTCAATGAGTGAAAGAGCAGCTAACTATTTTCTGTGTGCACAACCAGGCTAATAATGAAAAGACTCCCAGATATTCCCACCACCTGAAATACAAAATTAACTGAAATACTGTATTTTTAAATTGTACGCAAGAAATATTGATTAAAGCAAATCTTGTACTGTATATTGTCATATTTTTGATCCTTGAATGAAAAAGAATAAACTCTAAAGTGGTTGTTTAATCATTGGAGTACTCTTTATATTTGTGCTGAAAGGTGGTTTAATGAAATTTAATAAGTCTAAATATTCAGCGTTTGTCCCCAACAGCAGCCCTTGGTCGATGACAGGCGCTGGAGCAAAGCCAAACACGTGGCTGCAGTGTTGCTCTGCACTCTGGCAACTGTATATACACACACACACACACACACACATACACACACAAATGTACACATTTAGAACAAATGCTCTTTAAACAAACATTTGAACAGCGGGAGGACCCAAACTGAAAGTTATTTCCCAACAGGGACACTGTCACCGACAATTTAATGACCTAAAAACTTTAACAGCAGAAGGCAATACAAGATTTGCTTTGAAGCGTCATTGGTTTCTTACATAAACCAGCATCCAGAACTGAGTATGTCAAGCATGTTTGTATTGCCCAATTCCACATATAATATCTCAGAGCTGTCTACAACAGCAATTGTAATAAACACTGTCTCACAAAATTCAAAGATCCAAAACTACTGTGCAAAATAATACCCAATTTTTAAAGAGTTAAACCAGTAGAGCCCAAGAAGAATCTCAAAGACTATGTACAAAAAAACTTCATGAGACTTGAGTTTGGCCAATCAGGGATGTTTAACAGTGCAAATTCCACTCTGTTAGTTGCTGGCTCCATGAAATAACTAGCAGATATATTACAATGGCTCTGTAACCAAAACTTCAGCTAGATTCCTCTAAAGGTAAAGGTCCAGAGTTCCTACAAAATCTTAAAAAGGGTGTGCAAATACAAACTTAAATTCTGCACCAAAATAAACCAGAACACATTTCTAGGTCAGTCAGTGCTCCGCCGTTAGGATATGAGCGGCTTGGCTAGGCTAGCAGATGCATTACATCCTAAACTGGAGCCCAAACCAATCCTAACATTCCCTCCATCCCCAAAGTACAAGTGCAAACCCCCTCTTGTAATAAGGAACTATAGTTCAGGAGCACACAGTACATGCACACTACTGTTAAAGCATTACATGAGGTTACTGCAGACTCAACATGCAGTATGTTTTAGAGTGGCATTAGCTAAAAAGGTTCCTAAAAGCCGAAGAACCCCTCTGTGACTGGGAGATTGGCTTTTCTGTAAGAGTCATGCACCTGTGTGTGTTTGTGTGTGTGTGTGTATGTGCATGTGTGTGTGTGTGTGTGTTAACCTCGCTAGCATACTTGGCATGTCAGAGACATCCTGAAAGCTGCCCTCTAAAGCAACACTGTAAACATTCCATGTCCAGATGTTTTTCAGACCTCAGCTACTCCATACCATTCATTTGCCACTTTCTGCATTGTTTCAGGCTGTCACTGAAAGGCCTCCTTTTATTGCCTAGTCTGCCATTGCACAAAAGCCAAGGAACCCAACGAAGTTGTCATTAAAACTTCCCTTACATGTCGTCTTTTAGACTATATATGACAAGGGTCAACATATTTTGGGTGCCTTTAATTTCAGTGCAATTCTTTCGTGGCCATTTTTTTGAAACAACGCTGCTTTATGCAGAAAGTGTTGTGTCAAGAACAGGGATATTTGAACATCTAAACTGTACAAACCTTGTACTTTTCTTCTCCTGTGTAAGTGTTGATGATGTAGGGTAGTAGGTGGTGAAGAAGATCTGTTAGCCTTCCCCGGTGAGTACTGCTTTGAATGAAGTGCTCACACATGAAATGCTGCTCTTCAAAATAAAGTTTTGGATTTTGCACTAAAGTTTCACTTCAGGGAGAGGGTTCCTCGATCGTGACCATGCACTCCTCCAGAATTTCATGAGTCTGTGAACTCATCTCTCAGCATTTTCACATAATTATTCAGGTTGTAAAGTATATTTTTTGATAAAAGTGTTGGCAAGCACAGCTTTAAGGGAAAATGCTACAGTAACCACAATTACAGGCTTGGGTACATTCAGAGGAGCGTCCCTTCCACATCACGTTGTTGAGTCTGATGTATAACCTTTGTCACATTCTCTTCTTCTGTTGCCTCCACTCGTCCTCTCTCCTACCCATCACTCACTGCTGCACTATATATGCAGGCCAATAAAGCAGAAATACCAAGAGAAAGAACAATTTAACCCAAGAAATGCTGTACACTACAGCATGCGCACACACACATACATAAACAGCAGACCCTTATTGGACTATCTCCATAGCAACAATGTCAGTCTGAGAGAAGTTCACAGGAAATTCTGTTATCTGATTCCTTGAGTGCTCTCTGTCAGACTTTTGATATGAGTTTTGGCCTTAAGGGCGTTACTCAATAACACGCTCCACCAATTGGGTGTGTATTTGTGCATGTGTGAGTTGTACATGTGCTTCTGTTTTAACCAGGAGATCAAATTTTATGGTATTAAGTATATCTGTTCATGCTCAGTTGTGTTTAACCCGTGAACTGATATTAGCCTGTGTGTTTGCATAGAAAACCTTGAAGACAAGTGTGTGTGTGTGTGTGTGTGTGTGTGTGTCTGTCTGTCTGTCTGTCTGTCTGTCTGTCTGTCTGTCTTGGAGAAACATAGTATCACTGACATCCTTTCTCTGGAGTAATTTGTCCCAGAGGCGCAAGGCATAGTACTGTTTCCAAGCCCTCCCTCCCTCCCTCCCTCTCCTCCTCTTCATCCTCCCTCTCTCCATCTCTCTCGCCTCCTCCATCTGTCTTTCTCGGTTTCTGACTCTCCTGGCAGAGCAGTGAGCGATGAGACATCCTGCCTCTGAAAGACACAGGGATTCCAGGGATTTGGAGGAGATATTAGACTCCCTCTCCGACTCACCTATCGCCTTGTGCCCGGAAGCCCCCTCATGAGACAAACAGCGTCCACTCATATACTTGCTTGCTTGTATAAACACATGCATACATGGCAGATTACCCACACTCGAATATTATTAGAAGCTTGAACAAACGTAGGTGGGTTCAAACACATTACACACACTCACTCACTGAGGCGCGAATACTCACATATGCATGCACGCTCACACACTCACATTTTAACAGTGAATGCTAATTTGTTTGTACACAAACGCTTACACACATATTCATGAAGGCATTAACATGGAAGCAAACTTAAACTCAAACGTCGCTCTGTGCCTCTTGCAGAAATGTGTGTCACATTTTTTAAACACACCCACACACACAGATACTGCTCCTATCCAAGGCATCAGCTACCCCCTTGAGCCATCAGTCGCATTAGAAGAAATCTCTTGAGCTAATAATGACAAACCCTCTTAAATTGTAGAGCATCATAACCATTTATCACTAAAAAATACAACCTTCATCACAGTCATAATATCATCTAACCTGCTCCAGACCCTTTTTTTCCTTCTCTGACATGACAGCCTCACAAGCCCATAGTGCTGAGACCCTTTTTAAGAGTTCCTATCATTGGTGAAACAGTAATACCATATTTTCTGGAGCAGTCAGAGGGCTGATGGAGTAGAGGAGGAAAGGGCTATCGGGGGGCTAACAGAAGAAAGGACTTTACCAATTCTTCAAAGCCACAGCGCACCGGTTGATGATGGATGGAGGGATTGATGACAACACCCTGAGAACCACCCAGGTGGCTCAACTGGCCCGTGAGGCATCGCTGAGGAATGAGACAAAAGGCGGCCATGAGTGCACTCATAATTGCAAGTGGAGCACATTAAATTACACGCACACACAAGATAAACGTGTCAGGTGTGCATCTATGACAGCGTGTCATAGAATAGTATACTCAGCCTGTTTGAGGTTCAGACCTTCTTTTGCAGAGTGATTCATAGAGCCTGATTACTAGGAATTGGTGCTTCTTGGTGTATAAGTTAGCTTAATCAATCATGCAGTCTTTGACCTGCTGTTTAAAGTAATCTAAAGCACAATTAAACCTTTTTATATTCCATTGTGAATATGCCTACCTAATTTGGACCAACTCAGCCCAACTCCTGTCTTGACGTAGCTCCAATAAGATGTATTTATTTACTGGGCTTTTGGATGTAATTCTGCTTCCAAACTGTCACACAGTAGTACAAATATCTAAATCATGTTTTTCCAAATTTGCCACAACTGAGTTAAGTTCAATACGTCTGTCTCTCACTCAACAGACTAATTAACTCCAGCTGATGACAATTGCTCTAGGCGTCATCATTAGAGAATATGCAACATCTGAATAGCTGAACATTGTAACTATCATTGTATATGACTTCTTGGTGTTCACTTCAAATGTCTCCTGTGAGTCTGTTTTGAGTGTGCACAGAACCATGCACACCAGTGTTCTCATAATCGGTCTCTCTCTCTTTGGCTCGTGTGTTTTAGTCTAGAGAGTCTGTCTGGGGGTTATCACTGTTATCATATGCTATGACATGTCTTTGTGTGTGCGTCTGTCTTGGCAAGCAAGAATTGACATGAGCCCACCTGCCAGTGAAGCAGTGAAAAGCAGAGATGGATAGACTCTATAGGCAGTATATTTGGTTGTCTGCTAGACTCATGCCTGTGCAGCAAATGACATCTTTATACTTGAATATTGTAACTGTCATTTTAACAAATATTCTACAATATTTCAGTAACACATGAGAATTTCACATACCGGTAATAGTACCACTGCATATACCTGTAGATTTGTCATGAAAACACCTTCTGAGTTTGCAAATGCATAGAATCTGAAAGCAAGCATATACCTATTCAGTACATCATCATCACCACCTTGTGCATCATTGCAGCTTTGTGTCATGGCATTTATCATACATCATTTTCCATCATTATGTACACACATGTATATTTATATATAATATATATATAAATATATATGTGTGTGTGCATGTGTGTGTGTGCGTATATATATATGTATAGACTCAACAGGTGCTGCTACAACATTTCCTGGATTGCAAACATTCTCCCATTCACTCTCTGGACGAGTCGTGTGCGAGTGTGAAGGGAGAATAAGTGAGACATAGAGAGGAAGTTATGTTT